CACACTTCTATGGATTTCTGTGCAGGACCACAATTTTGCTAGATTCATTTCTAACCCCGTCTCACTGTAAGTCTGCTTCACATACACAGATTTTTTAAATTTTTATGATGTCCATGCGACAGAACAAGATATGGTCACAGGAAAAGAAGATGTTATGATTTGATTAGGTAATATCCTTCAGAGATCCTTTCTGCTTCGAAGGGGTTTTTTTTCTCCTCTCATTGCAGTCCCATGGATAATAGCCATCCTCGGTTTTGTACGTTTTTTAGTACTTTGGTTAACCTGAAGCATGTCATTCCTATCTATGTATTTTGGGGTGATCTTTAATATCTCATTTAAGAAATTTAAAAGGAATTTCTCTTTATATCTCAAGCACAAATTTAATGCAAAATGAAATCTCCAAGGAAAGAATTAGTCCAAAAATGTCTCTGATTTACAATGAACACACACCAAAAAAAAAAAAAAAAAAAAAAAGGAATGATTAAATTTGCATGCTGGAGCATCCTTAGGAGTTCGTTGATTTATCTGAGCTTAGGTTTCACTACACCTAATCAGTGGAAACAGAGGTTTTGTTTAAGAGCCCTTCTCATCATATGAAGGATTTTCACAGTCCTTTTTCACTTCACATAGCATTACAAAGTGCTAAATAACACTTGTACACTCTCCTGCTGCTTCATAACCCCTTGGCCTAAATAACCCTGAAATCATGTTATTTCCAAAATCGTTTGATTACTTCTTAAGAGAGTGTAGAAAAACCTTTGTTTAGGGGATTGATAATATCCTTTATGATGTTTCTGGATGGATTTTCAGTTATTGCAGCCAAAGTTAAGCCTCTCTTGGGCTTTGGTACCGACATGCAAGATACACACCTGATATCTGTGAAATCAGCAGACTTTTGAAAGGAAGGGAATGCTAGGTAAGAGCCTTCCTTTCTCTATTCTATTAGTATGCACTTTTTCTATTAGTCTTTACATTTATTTGCCTTTTTCATTAAACAAGCTTAATACAAAGGTTCCACAAACAAAATTAACATGGGCAACCCTAAAACAAAGCTTAGCCAATTTGGATGAAATAAAGGAACAATTACTAGATAGCTCTAAACAGATTATCTGTACAGTGTTAAATTTGATCTTCATTATCGTTAATAGCAAGAGCACTACTAAGAGCATTTCTGCATCAAAAGAAAAAAATATGTCATGGATTGAAATCCAGGTAGCCATACAGGTACTGCACAGAAAAATCACAAAACACCTGCCAAGTCACTTTTAAACCAAGTCAGTCTTCGAGTAGCTTCTTGGATTTTCCTCTTCGTGTTCACTTGCATATAAGAGGGTTAAGTCCGTTCTTTGCAAAGATCTTTGGCATGATCTTTGATGACAAATGACATGCTACCATATGCCAAAAAATAAGGGGAATACAGTCACCCCCAGCTTCAACTTTAACTGGAGGTGCTTTGTTCTGAGTGCCCTGAATAATTAATAACTGCTTTGGCAATCAGTCATGCATTCCTTAATGGCACCTCAGGCATCAAGTATCCCATTCACCCGCTCCCCAAGTAACAATGGACTTTATTACATCAAGTTTTCTCTGCCAAACTTGTAACTGACATAATTTAAACTAAACAAGTCGCTAGGAAGATTGAAGCCCAAACATATATTATAAGAGTTTATAAGGTTTCCCTCAATTGCATGTGGCTACTATATGGATTAGAGCTGTGACTGGGGGCAAGTGCAAAGAAGGGGAAAAGAAATGAAATATGGATTGTTTTTGCAATAAAGTTCTAGTAGGGTTTAGATGGTATAGTGCTGCCAAAAACATGACTTTTAATAAATGCATAGCTGAACAGTCAAAATGCAGAACAACCGCTAAGCAGCCCTTTGTGAATAAAGCAGCTCACCAGTAAGCACAGACTAAGTGGCAGGGCAGAGCATGAAAAGAGTGACTACGAATAACAGCTGTGCTGAAAGTAGCATAATAATTTTGAAATAACACAAACTACATTTTCTTAGCAAGAATAAGCTTTTTCAACACTTCCTTCCACTTTATGGTATTCCAGACAAAATTAACTTGCAACTAGAACAGAGCAAAGAAAAGTGGAGTTAGACCAGAGTTATAGAAAGTTTTAGATGTACCCAGGGTACACAATTTAAAATCTAAGAAATTCAAGTAATTAAAATGTAATTAGCTACAATCTGAAGAAAAGCTTCATGTTTTTCTCGGGGAGCATTAAGTACACGAACTGCTTTTATGCTGCCATAGTAAACCTTGCTAAAAAATGATGCCGTGTCTATTGACACTGGAACTTCTGCAAGTCCTTTTGAGTGACTAAATCTTAGAAGTAAAGTAATCAGATCAATAGCCATTCAACTCCTCCTTATTCATCATGTGAAACTTCGGTTTGAAATATAATCTACAAAGTCAAAATACATATATACGATAAATTACAGCGGATTTAAACAAAGCCATTTCTCTTGCTCTTTAAAAGACCTGAAAATGTGTCCGGTGCCCCTCTCTGTGTGTGGCCTCCAAATACTGAAACAAGCTTGCACTGTTTTATTTCAGTTTTGCTTCATTTCTCCCCAAACAATCTCTCATTGCTAGTCTACCAGACATTTCCCCCTTCCCCTCTTGTCAAAAAATGAGGGGAAAAAAATAATTTAACTGTTTAGGACCAATTCATTGAAGTGAATCACTAAGTGAATCAGTTTTGGTTTTGCACGCATTATTTAAAATTTACACTCATTCCTAGAGCTGACATCTTTTTTGCAGGGAGGTGAGAGGGGAGAGGGGGCTGTAAATTTTAGTTTCTTTATAAATAGAGAGCATCTTATAAGAGAGCATTGTAGTTTTAAAGAAAAACACTTTTTTTTTGGCATCAGTTTTCCATTGCTTTAGGTGCAACAAGCAGGTCTAATCCTGGAACTCAGCAATATAGATTTCGTTTACAATCTGCAGTCTGTAATGTGAAATTGTATTTTGCATGGCTTATTAAGACAGAGTTTTTGATGAAAAAGATCACAGAACTTTTAAGGAGAGATTTGGAAAATAATTCTTACAAACCGATAAAGAGTTGTTATACTGCACATTTTGGGGCTAAGTCTGAATTCCGACATGAAAGGGGCTGCTCTTGCCTGTTACATAGGTGAGAGATAACACGCTTGGTTTCTAAAACAGTTTGTATGTATACTTCTTATGCTATATGAGCTTTGTTAATGGAGAAAAACAGGAAACTGAAAATGTATCCTATGATGTTAGCTTTGTTTTCGTCTATTGAATAAGTGACACAAATATTTTGAAGATTAAAGAATTGTTTTCCAAGTGTTGATAATTTAAATGTTATAACCAGTTTTCCCTCTCAAATGTCAAAGAATAAACTCAGTACATTTGTACAGCATGGCATAAAGATAATTATACATATACTACAGTATTTTTAGGTGCCTTTGTTTAATCAATTCCACAGAAATTGGATAGTACATAAGTCAGATAGCTATGTAGCAGGTAAGATATAATACTAGAGCTACCACAATGAAATTTGGCATCAGCCCACAGATATATCTATTTAGACATTTTCTTTTACCGTTTTCTAAAAGTAAACATACTTATTACATTCTACCCTCGCGTGTACAAAAGTTTAAACCTGACCATATTTCAAGCTGGTTTGGAGACCGATTGACATTTTATTTAATTTCAAAATTCATCATTATCAGGTCATACCATGCTATTAACAAACGGGTCTAACTCACAAAACAGTCAAATATGCAGATCAAACCTCTAATCACTTTAGGAATAGTTCTTAGTTAGGCCTAAAGATTTAAAAAGACTGATAGGAAAACAACAGAAAACAACATATATATATGTACACACACACATACACACCCCTATCCTTCACTCATATCATCATCAGTATGCTAAACATATTACATAGAAGATTATGTATTATTCAAAAGACATGCAGAATTGTTCTTTGCTTCTTCTCAGTAACTGAAGTTTTGTAAATGGGGAGAAGAGGCAAAAATGGCAAAAGCAATAAGCAAGCCAAATGCATTTTGAGTGAAGCGCATGTCGGTGCAGTTACAACATGGATTCTTTTGATCAATTTTTTATTGAGCTTGCAGATATTTTTCCACCAACCAAATACCACAGACCACAAGACTACTTAGGAAATTCACAAAGTGAATTATGAGCAATTTAACAAAAATACTCCTTACTCTCTCTAAATATGGAATACCTATTCTAAAACAAGTCAACTCTTGTTCTGCTCCACTCTAATGTTTCAGAACGTTATCTCATCCTTTAAAATCTATAAACATTGTTTTGCTATCAGAGATCTTTCATCTGTTGAAAAAAGGTAACAGAAGTCTGTTGACAGTGAAAATAGTCACATTTTAGACAATGACTATTGTTTAATACTTGCGATTTACAAGCATTAAGCAACATTCAAGAGAACTCTGAAGTACAGTTTCCAGGGAAAATGCAGTGGAAAATGAGTATTATACATTGTCTGCTTTGTCACTATAATAAAACAGTTCGGAAGTATAAGAACTTTTCAGTTCTTGAACTAGGTGTAATTATTTGGCTGTGTATGTCTAATAGCAGCTGACTAACAAAAACATTAATTTCTTCAGTCTTCTTTGTGTCTTCCCAATGCTCTTTAAATGTCACACAGCTGATTCTTATACTGATTTTTCTTCTTCTCAAAGCTAGAAAATTCATTTTTACAGTAGTGTATCAGGAATGCAAACATTTTCCTGAAGTTTCCACACAAACAACTGAGCCCACAACTTCCCAATCCAAAGCCATCCAAGAAGAACAAGAAGAACACTCAGCTACTTAAAAAACAGAAACAAAATGTACAGTTCTGGAAGACAGATTCTTTATTATTATAATTGTTATTAAGAAATGAACAGTAATTAATCCTAAACTATTAAAAGATTCTTTTGAGCTACCACTTCAAAGATTTTATTTTCCTGAAATGTTCCAATCTGAAATATGTTACTTACTGGTGTAAGAAGTGTATAATGGATGCAGAATCCAGGTTCAGAAGGAAAATACTCATCAGACACAAATCTTATTCTGATCTGGTTTCCTTTGGAGATTTGTCTGCTTGGCACACTACTGGAACCACACCAGCGCCCTAAAACAGTGCCATCGCTAGGCTCTTCAACTTCTACAAAGTCATACCTGAACAGAAAAGAAAATCAAATGTTTATTTACTGATAAAATTTCTATAAACTTCTTGCTTTAATCAATAAACTGACTCTGCAGTTTGCAATTATTTTCTTTTAAATGCTAAAAGTATGTTACCAAAGCCAGCTATTTTAAACTTAGCTTCCAAGTTGCTACTGGCTTAAATACATAATAAAATCATGCAGTGAGGTTAAAAAAATAAAAGCAGGGTTAGCATTTTGAAGAGACCCATGAGTATGGTTTTGTTTGTTCCTTTTACGGAAAGCAATTACAACATGTGGGATAGGGCAGAATAAAGTCAGAGAAAAAAAGATTGAAATTGCCTAAGTATGGCACAGTAACTCAGACTGCAATATCACAAGCAGTATACTGCATGTCACCAGTTAATGTTCAGGGGCTTTTTGGTACAGAAAACTTACCCTCTCGTAATACCAGTGGTGAACGAACTCCTGAAGGTTAAGGTGGCTTAGGGAAACTCAGGAGCACATTTTGAGTTTATGCATATCCCAATAAGACATTTGTTGAACAAGACTTAGATGTACTGTGTGTCAGGAATAATCTGATATTTTGGTAGTATGGACAAGAGAGATATGGGTTGAGAACTTTGAGAGAATGAAACATATTAAGTTTGATTTATTTTCATTGGGTTTTAACATGTGGTCTGGGTATCCCTGGGGATCCGTGAACAACTTCAAATAAGTCCATGAAAGGTAGAAAAGAAAAAAAAGAAAAAAACCTACGTTACTTAGTAGAAACGTCAGTCAATTGTCATCAATAAATTCAATGTGCCACACGAAGTTCTTGCTTCCACTGGAAAATGCTTAGGGGGTTCCCAAGTCATAAAAACATTGAAAGCCACTGTTCTAGAAGGTACGTCTGGTTTCAGTGCTTTAACCTGTTTCATGTCAGTTCCTCAGCTGCCCACTGTCAGAGCAAACACTAAGCATTTCAGCTGGGTTTCCCCTGCTGCAGCTTGAAACCCTCCGAGCCCCAGCGGCAGCACGATCCGGTGGTGCGGGAAGGCGAGAGTGCATCAGTTAAAGCACAGCAAGCATATGGAAGTTCACAGCTGCAGCTTTCCGAGTCATCGTTCTACTTTTAAATCACAACTTGCACTCTAGGCACAAGCGTAACAAGCCTCTGAGAAAGTTTCAAGATTTCTGATATTTTTATGTTTTCTTGCATGTGTGGTCATATACTAAACATCTCATGTAAATCTAAATTGGTAAATAGCATTGAATCCTTGCAAGAGTACCAGCCCTTACCTCTGGCGACAGCAAATGCTCATATTTTAAAAAACATGCGCACACACACACACTACCAAATATGCCAAGCAATATTTAATGTGAAAATTATTACCTCATAAACATTTTCTTCTAAAGCTTTTTCTGGATTTTTTTTCAGTAAAGCTAATCTTTATAATGATTCCCAGTTCCCTAGTTAGACAGCAGGCAATAAATTCTTGTGTTGCATGTTTGTGCAAGACTGACTTGCACATTTATTATCTCCATTTAAAGTACCAGTATTTTTTCCACTTAATTAAAAATGAATGCAGAGAATATGCTCATTAACTGTGTTCAAAATCCATTACTGCCATGTACCACAGTTTTAAATCTTTATTGAACTTATGATACTAATTACTTTATCACCATCCCTTTTTCCCCCCTAACACTAATTCCTTTAACTGATCCACCAGTGTTTTTACTTTATAATCAGGTATACAACTTATTACAAAGGCAATGTGTACATTAATTGTACTAAGGCTTCAGGGCTCAACACAGTTATCAAATTGATTTTGAGCACTGATTTTTTTTTACTTTTTTTTTTTTTTAAGATCAGCCTATGAAGTTTCTAGAGATAACCTTTTTTATTTTTATAGTTAAGAATAAGAAATAATTATCTACTTTTCTGATTCTTAAAGGCTGAATAAGTTGATCATTATGTGCACTGACTTAAGCTTGAGATGTTTGGGGGAGTCAGGCTTAGCACAGGTGTTAGTGCTTCTACATAACTTACATACATAAGAGTACTTTCTATTGCACCTTAGTCTCCTGGTACCCCTGAAGAAAAAGAGAAACTCAAATTTCACAGTTTAAACCCTAGACCCTTAAAATAAATGCTAATCAATTCCATTAGTTGAGAGGCAAAATAGAGGGGAAAAAAGTATTCCAAAAAATTCAAATAAAATTCAGTTTTCTGATATACATGACAGATCCAGATAATTCTGCTTGTCGGGGCGTTCCTTCTATATTCAATTCTTTTCTCCTTGATCATTGTAAGTCATTCTCCTGAACAAGTTTTCATTTCTAATTAAAAAAAAAAAAAAATCTGATTTTTCTGTATGTTAGCAATGTTACCTTGATTGAGAGGTTTCTCAATCACTCTTCCCCCACCCTAATACCACTCTGATCATCAGAAATCCACTTATTTCCCAATGATCAATTGGGCAACGCTCCAATCATTATATAACTGTGGCTAGTGCTGCACTGCAGTGTGCAGTTACCAATATCACTATTTAAGGGATTTAACTAAAACCTATTTTATAAGCCAATTGAACATAACTTTCCCATGGCAACATGGTACAGTACATACAGCATGGTTTATAATGATTATTCCCTTTCTGCAATGTCTCTCTCAGGACTTATAGAGGATTTCTGTTCTTTTATGTTCAACAAACAAGCCTGGTGCTGTAGACAAAACTTTCTGTTTCCAAAAGCAAATACATGAGATATTAGTATTGGATTCTTACTGCTGAACACAGATGTAGGTGTAGCTCCCTGCACAATATATATGTTTCACCATTAGGAAGGAGAATCTTTAGAAATTCTGTCTACATCAACAGAAAAAAGTCCCTCACGTGTTCTCTGGACATAATGACATTTTAGCCAGTAACTTTATTTCTGTCAGTTATCTAGTCTGAGTGTGCCAATAGAATCTTCTGTGCAACTACAATTCCTTGCTTTGCCCATCTGGACTGAAGTCTGAACTTCCTGTGAAAAGTAACAAAGCAAAGTGGTTCAGATGTTTTAGCATTTATGAGAACGTGCGACATAATTCCGCAGCTACATGCAGCTAAAGAGTAGCGGGGACAATAGCATAGCCATCCAAAATTATTTCTCCATCAAGAGAAGCTTCTACTTAAAATGCAAGAAAACTAGGACAAATAACCAAGAACTGAGAAGCTATTTTCCATCTACAATGGAATAAAAAAATATTAAAACATAGGTCGAACCAACCAAAGAATCCTTTTTTGTGGAGTGTACAAAGGAGAGAACACAACCCTCTTTGACAATGACTAAATAAATGCTCTGGTGCTTTATCTATGTTCAATACATTATTCAAATATTACTAAGTAAAATTTATGATGAAGAGGTAGTCCAGCCTCCTTTCCTGGGATGAAAGACGTTTTTGCCTTTAGTCATGATGCCCACAACGGCTTCCCTTATACCTGTTGCAGAACATGTATTCCTCCTCCCTACGGCCTGGGACCATGGATTGAATTAACAACCTGAATAAAGACAATTTATTGGAAAAGAGCAAGGAAGTAATGTAAGTGACTCAAACTCCAATGCCTTTCCAACCAGGAAATGTATTTTCCGAAGGAATAGGTTTTCCTCTCCTTTCTATATTTTTTCTGTGGCTTACACTGTCATTTGCTAAACATATTCTGACAGGCTGTTTACCTTGGCTTGCAGTTTTGTGACCTTTTTGTGGCTTCCCTCTGCCTTCGGAATTCCACAAATATATCAATGAATGTAAGAAGCAGAAACCCATGAGGTAAAACACTCTGTAATATCAGCAATGTTGGACCTTTCCATCTCTATATAGATGTGTGCTAGACAAAAATCTCGCACACCGGTTAAAACAGCTTGTGAATGGTGAAATATATTTTTCCTTCCCCCTTTGATAAGAATCCATTTCATTATTTTTTTTTTTAATGAAGGAAGCTAATAACAATCCCTGTCTATTTTTTTTTTTTTGACAGCACCCTGTGGGACCCTGTAATACTTCTGTTCCAACTTGTTCTAAAGCACATGGACTTCCAAGGTTTTCCTGGTGCTGGCACAGCACACCAAAATACCTACCTCAGCTGCAGACCAAAAGCATTCATGGTCTCCTGGCAGTTCACCAGACAAACTGTTATTGAATAGAATTTAGATAGTTTATATTTGGACAGCTTCAATTTTGGAAACATTGGAAATTACTAAAAACTGTCATCATAAAAATATCATTTTGACCTTTTTCTAAAGGAAAAGGAAAGTAAGGCCAAACGTTTAGCTTGAAGACATTTTTTTCAAAGCTCATCTGCTTCACTTGCAATAAATTCTGGAGACCTCCTCCAGTCAACCCAGCTCTCCAGTAACGCTCTGATGGGCAGATTCATGTTTATCTGGTTGTTGTGGTTTGGGCTGGACTGGCCACTGAGGCAAACGACAGATGCTCTGCCCCAACTATGTCTTCAAGGAGAGGAGGGAGAGAGAAGGAGACTTGTGAGTTTAGAAGGAACTAACCGACTTTATTGAAAATATTAATAATAAAAATTAAATGATGAAATGTATACAAAACCATATCAAGCTCCCAGGATGACAATCACATCACCGACAGGAACTGAGGAAGTCCCAGACTGGACTCAGTGACAGATGGGAACTGGATTCCGCATCTGGGTCCCAGAATGCATGGATCGGGATCAAAGGCAGACGAACAGAGTCCTCCTCAGACGTCAGCCATTGAAGAAAGAGGCTTCACCCTTTGATCCCTCAGCTTTTATACTGAGCATGAGGCAGATGGGATGGAATACCCTGTTGGTCAGTTTTGGGTCACCTGTCCTGTCCACTCCTCCCCGCAGGTGGGACCCCTCTACACTCTTCTGCTTCCGACCCTCCAACGGGGCAAGTAACAAAGTTATCTGCCCTCGGCTGGGATAGCACTAAGTATAAGCAGGAGCCTCTCTGCATACCATGCCCGGGCATCAGCTATAAACACAGGTCTCTTAT